ATGACCAAGCATTCAAATAGATGAGCCTATGGGGACCATTCTTACTCAAACCACCACACTTGGCAGACACTTTACTGACCACTCCTCAGCCCCCATCTCATGAAACTCCCTTTTAAGACAGTCTTTCTGCGTATCTCTAGTTTGCCATGAATTCACTACATAGCCCAGACTGGCCTCAAATTCATGACAATCCTCCTGCCTCACCTTCCCAAGCAGCAGGGATTCATGACGTGAGTTACTACACTTGGCTCAGTTTTTTCTGTGTTGAGGAGCCTATCTTACTCCCAAGGCCTTACAAAACCGTGGGCTGTGGACAGTCTCAGAGACCCCCGAAGAGAGGCAGATCCACCTGTGTCTGTGCCTGTCTATTCCCCTTTGCACTGCTTGCTTGCTGAACCCAGTAAACAACAGCAGTCTGGCTCCAATCCAAACCAGCCGCCTCACTGTGCTTTATGAGATGGTAGCATAAAGATAGCATCTTGAGTGTGGGCCTGAGAAAGCTGGACCCCTCTAAGTATGCTCTTTCTGTGTAAGCCAAAAATACTCATTTCTGTTCATTTGTTCACTTTTCCTTACTTCCATCCTTCTGAACATTTGCTGAGCATTCATTAGCTCTGTGCTGGAGTTATGGAGACAAACAGGACCACCTTCACAATATCCACGGTGTGATGGTTAGCTATAATTGTCAACTTCACACAACCTAGAATCAACTGGAAAGAGAGATTCAATTCAATAAGGTATTGTCTATATTGGTTTGGCCTGTGGGTCTGTCTTAAAAGACACCGTAGCCTAGGTTGGCCTTGAACTACTCTAATCTCACGCAATAGTATCCCAAGGGCGGTGACTATTGGCATAAGCCGTTGTGACTGCCTGTGCTAATGAATCGATCAATTAATAACCAGAAAATATGTCTTATTTAATGGAAGTTTCTGTTTAGAGGGAAATCAAACATAGAGCATGAACTTGGATTTGAAGTGTGGCCTCAGTAGTTGAGCATACATTTATTTCATGAAAATTACATATGGGATGGGGACTGTGATGTAACTCCATTGGTAGAGTGCTTGCCTAGCACACACAAATCATGGAGTCCAGTCCCCAGCACCATCGAGCAACAGAAGTGGTGGAACACACCTGGAATCTCAGCATTCAGGAAAGAGAGTCAAGAGGACCAAAGTCCAGTGCCATCCTCAGGCTGACCTGCACTCCACAACATCTTGTCCAAAATAAAATAAACAAGTCAATGAATCGCAAATGGAAAGATAGTGTATGTCTGTAATCTCAGGGAAGCTGAAGCGGGAGGATCACTGAGATCAGTGCCTATAGACTGAGACTGTCTCAAAAAGCAAAGAAAAAGCAACAGCACAGAAAATAAATTGCAGGAAGGGGATGTACTCAGTGGATACTGAGCTTGGTTAGAGCATTGGTCTCTTCTCCTCCATCCAGCCTGACCAGATGTGTTCAGAAACCTTGGTTCTCCTTGAATATGCACATCTGTCAAAATTCTTGTCAATTTTAGCACAACTGCCAAGGGACTGAACAAAGGGAGTTAGCGATTAACTTCAAAGAACTTTGTTGGAGAGGAATAAAGATATTTAAGGCCTATTTTGTGAACTAATTGCATTTGCATATTTATGGGATTTACTGATATAGCAGTAATTAAAAACTATTTAGTAGTCTTAAAGGACACATAACTCAGTTGCCGTTTGCATAATAAACACTTCCTTATTATGTTTGCATAATAAACCCTCTACCCCTGCTTCTTCCAGAAGAGGTTGGTCCATTTAAGAGGTGCCACATCTTACTTGGCGCAGGGAGTTTCTGGGGTGGTGGAGAGGGGCTGCTTAAAGAATATTCTCGCAACTCTCCTAAAATGGGCCTGAGCTGCTGTTAGAGAGTGGTAGGCACAAACCTGACTTGACATCTTGATTTGCTTTGCCTAGGTGTTTTTCCTGAGAAATGAGGGTCCCAAAAAGAACACAGTGGCACAGGCCTGTAGCATCAGCAGAGGCTGAGGTAGGAGACATACACACACACCACACCACACCACACAACACATCACACAATACACATACACGCAACATACCACGTATAGAACACACACACAATACACGCTATGCACACATAATACAACACACCATTCATACACACAATTCATACATACAACACACACACACAAATACAACAACACATATGAAGCATGAATATCTAGCCCCTCATGACTCCAGCTTTACATTCTAAATAATACTTATTTGGGGGGATAGAGAGATGGCTCAGTGGCAAGAATACTTGTTGCTCTTGCTAGAGGCCCCAGGTTTGGTTCCCAGTTCCCACAAGGTGGTTTACAACCATCCAGTTCCAGGGAATCTAACACCTTTTCTGGCCTCCGTGGGCACTAGGCATGCCTGTTGTGCACATGCATACATACATACCGGCAAGACATTTATGCACAGAAATTAAAAATAACCAAAAAAAATTAAATATATGGATCTGCTTGAAAGACTTCAATGCAATTCAAGCCCATAGTTTTGCTTCTTGTGAAGCGTCCTAAGAGGACCAGTGGAAGCCCTTGGTAGTAAAAAATTATGTGGCTGCAAAGGGAAGGGCTTAAGGAAAGCGAGAGGAGACAATTCTCATCAAAAACAAAAATTAAAAGGTTGAACTGTGTGTGGTTGTGCACACCTTTTATCTCAGCATTCAGAAGGCAGAGACAAGCTGATCTCTGTGAGCTGGAGACCAGCTTGGTCTACATAATGAGTTCCAAGCCAGCCAGAGCTATGTAGTAAGAATTGGTCTCAAAAAAAAAAAAAAAAAAAAAAAAAAAAAAAAAAAAAAAAAAAAAAAAGCTAAAGGTTTGGGAGAGAGATGATACTAATCTAAAATTCCTGAGTAAATAAACTAAACCCTGGTAGGAGAGTAACATGGTAACATGGAGAAGAGAGCTGAGTTAGTATGTGGCCGCAAACTCCCCTAAAGACACAGTATTCACACAAACTCCTGGCAGGATGCAGCAGCCAAGCGCTGTACCAGGTAGCAGCAGCAGCAGACTGCTGTTAAGGCAGCTAATGAAGGTCGTAATGTACCTACATCACACATCATTAGCAATGGCCTTGCAGTGACAGATGGGCACGCAAGAAAATGCAAAGAAAAGGGAGGGAAGATTGTCCCAGAAGGGTCGACAGAATTGTGGCTCACTAGAACCTTTGGCAAGATACCATGTTCTCACCATCTCACTTCAAATCTCTGCACAAAGGGAGGCTTCTGAATCTTCCCACGGGAAGGCGCTACCAACAGATGTGGTCCGTCTTATTCAGAGTTCCCTCAGAGGCTGAAGTAGGCTCTCAGAACTGGTGTGAGGGGCCAGGAAGGGGCCCGGTCAACCCTTGCTGAGCTAATCTCTTGGAACCCAGTGTACTGCTGTCTGTAACAGGTACTTCTCAAAAAACAAACCAAAAAACAGAAAAACACACTTCGTAGATTTAACCTCCAGCAGGTTAAATTGTAGTTTCCTTTTCTTCTGAATTATTCTCACATGCATAGGAAATCGGAAGAGCGGCGGAGACAGCTAGCTCTCTGTTCTGCCGCCACCAATGCAACCCTTCCACGGCCAGCTGCTGCAGCCATGACCGGCACGTGCGTGGTTATTACACCAAAGGCGATAGTCTGTTTGTTAGCGGGACAGGGGTGTTTGCTTCCTTTGTTTCATTTCCTATTTTTCGAGGCAAGGTCTCATACAGCTCAGGCTGCCCAGGAACTTTGTGCGTAACCAAGGCTGGACTTGAACTCCTGGTCCCGTTTCCTCTCAGATGCTGGGGGTTTAACCGTGAGCTGCTACACTGGGCCCGACAAGGACATTATGCCATTTATTTCTTCGAGTATGTGGAAATGGCGTCTGCACACTTGTGTGTACAGGTGTGGAAATGGTGTCTGCACACTCGTGTGTACAAGTGTGTTCACATCAGAGGGACTCCTGCTCTGTCAAGCCATGACTTACTCCCTGAGATAGGGTCTCTCACCAAAGCTGCAGCCAGAGAGGAGGAGAGGGGAAATCAATCAAACAACCGCAGCGACAAATCTTTGATCAGGGAGCCAGCAAGATGGTGGAGGAGCTTCCCAAGCCTGGTTATTCGAGTTCTTTCCCTAAGACCCACATGGTGAAAGGAGAGAATGAACTCTCAAAAGTTTCCCTCTGACCTCCACATGTGCCCCGCAGCACATGCCCACCCCGAACCCCACATACAAAATAAGTAAACAAAAATAGTTTTAAAAGGGACATTAAAGAAAGTCTTTTATTGAATGATGTTAAACATTAATAGCTCTCGTCTTCAGGAAGCATCCTAGTTACTTTTTGGACCATGTTTGGTGGAAACTTAAAAAGCATTTCTATTTATCAAAAATCAATGTTTCTCTTAATTAAAGGGGCCTAGCAGAGACAAAAAGCACTCTCTCTGCTGTATTGTTTGGAGATGATGTTCATTAGACAATACCAGGTTCCCATTAGCTGCTTGTAACTCAAGAGCCCAGTTGACTGTTCCCAAAGCCTGAAGACGTTACCGCCTAAGTCTGATTTAAGACAGCTATCTGGATCTCAATTATTAATGAAATTAGGGTCCTGGATGCCAGCAAGAACATTGCCTTAGGTAAAGGCTGTAAAGGAAATCATATTAGCGTGGAATTTCCTCTCCTCAGGGGCTCCTCTTCTATTGCATTATTCACTTAGCCGTCTCCTGTAAGGGAGATGGACTGTTGGCCATCGTCCTAGGGCAGAGCCCAGTGGAGACACTAGCGGGGTTCATGAAGGCATCAATCTCAAAGCCTCCATGTGGTGCTTGTATGCCTCGGTCCAGTGGCATGCCCACAAAATAGCACCAAGGTTACCACAAGTGAGCAAGCAGAAGCGCAGGGTGGAGAGGTGCTGAGCGAGGCAAAACTGAGCCACGGCACACCCTGCACACCCTGTGGTCACTCCTCTGGTCCCTGCCCCAGCACTGCTGGTCAGTGCGATGAGTCTTCTGCGGTCCTGCCTCCTGGTGGCTGCTGTAGGTAAGTCCTGTCCATGATTAGACTGGGCACGGTCTTAGCTCTCGCAGTGTGGTGTCCACACGGAGCGGGAACACCTCAGATTCATCCCTTTTTATTCATACTCTGTTGAATGCTAGTCTCTATGTCCCCTCTCACACACCATCACGCACTGCTGCACAGCATCATGCCCTGGGACTTTTTATAGAGGTGAAAATTCATCCTGAAACATTACAGTTGGTGGGCAAATCTTCATGTCTGAGGAAATCCGGCTTACTGTGGTAATTTACATTAAGCATGGGGCAGTCTCTTTCAGATATGAACGGACAGCGGGTTTTAGGATCCTAGATAGCCTTGACATTAAAATAAGCCTTTAGCTGAGCAGGGGAAGAGTCCCATGGATATATCTCAACTTGAGATATCTGCATACCGTTTTGATATTGCAGTGTTTAAATCCAGTTTTACAGAAACTATAGACGTGGCTAGTATATTGCTAACAGCAGCTGCAAAAACATGCAAGTTTTGAGTGTATGATTTCTTTCAAAATACTTTAGAGATTGTATGTGTTTTAATGTATGGAATGATATTTCCATGGTAACATCCACTATACTGAATTGAACTGTTTTAGGATGCAATTGATTTTTTAAAAAGAGAGTATAAATCAAGAACCTATGGGCAAGCCATACCCACACCTGGGTATGCATCATTCTCTTCTTCTTGCATCCCCTTCTCTAATCCAGGGGTTCTCAACACATGAGTCGTGACCCCTTTGCGGGGCCAAACCACCCTTTCACAGGGGCTGCCTAAGACCACCAGAAAGCACAGATATTTACATTACAGTTCATAACAGTAGCAAAATTACACTTATGAAGTAGCAACAAGAATAACTTTGTGGAAAAATAACTTTATGGTTGGGGGTCACCACGATGTGAGGAACTGTATTACAGGGTCGCAGTGTTAGGAAGGTGGAGAAGCATGGGGAATAATCTGTTAGAGTGTCTTCTCCTACACTCCAAGTGTCGGTGATCTCTAACACGCTACTTCTTCCACCATCCCCCTCAGGCCCTTCCTCTTTGAGGGAGCTCCTGGAACTCGGGTCTGAATACTCAAAGTTTAAAGTAGAACTGCAAGTAGTTGTGCAAGTCAGTTCTGGAGAGGAAATAAAGACATTTGGTAGCTAGAAAGCTGGGAATTTACAGAGAAAGGAAGAAATCACTGGAAATGTTTGGGTTTTTTTCCCCCCTGTTTGGTAGAGAAGAAAATAACACAGATATCCTGGACATTTAACTTCAAGGATAAAAGCCTATCTTAATTATAAGAGTAAAATAGAGGAAATTTCATTAATGCCAAATGGATTTCTTTGCAGAAAATAACTATCAACATGAAAATAAGATAAAATAGAACCGACATCCAGAAGCCTCAGGAAATCCTTCTTACCAGTTTTCCCACTGATGTTCTGTGCTCAGCGGGACAGGAACAATGTTTTAGCAGGGTCTAATGACTGAGGCCTCCTCATAAATCACACTGAGGACATCTGTGGCAAAGGAATCTGACATTGTACTAAGGGAATGCGGAGTTGGCTTGTAAACAGCAGAACTGATTCTTTTCCTTTGCACTGAGAGTGTGCTAGGGATGAGGCTTGTACAGCTCCAGCCTCACTATTCATTGACCCACATAAGTTAATTCGTTCTTTAGCCAGTTTTTCAGGGCCTTATGTAGACTGGGTTAGCCTCGAACTTACTGTACACCTGAACGCTGAATTCTGATCCTCCTGCATCCACCTCTCAAATTCTAGGTTACAGCTGTGCACCATCTTGCCCTGTGTGTGTGATGTCGAGGGAGGACCCAGGCCTCCATGTGTGCTAGGCAAGCACTCTATTTATGGATCCTCACCCTCATACCCTTAAGTTGGTTTTTATTTGGAATGTTCACGAAGATCAGACTGTGGAAGTGTAATGTGTAACACAAATGTAAGATATTATCAACCCAGAAGCACGGACTCCGGAAAGACCGCTGGCTGCTTCTGCTCAGTAATAAACACTGTGCAGGGTGTATCGACTTTCTTTCCAATGGCGTAGTCAGTGCTGGTCCTAATATTTTTAGACAGCCAGGTCACTTTAGTGTCATGCCTACGAGGTTGTTCTCTGAATGCAGACCAGCTGTGCTTCAGCGCCAGCCCTTAATTTGGAAGCTATGGCCCTGGGCATCTGTACTTTCACTGAATCTGTAATAATTGTGCCTTCTCTCTCTCTCTCTCTCTCTCTCTCTCTCTCTCTCTCTCTCTCACACACACACACACACACACACACATACACACACACACACACACACACACACACACCAAACCCAAACAAAACAACAAGTGAAAAAGAAAGAATGCTTTTTGTTGTTGTTGTTGTTGTTGCTGTCATCTTTAGTCCAGGCTAGCTTGTAACTCAGTATGTAGTCCAGGCTATCTTCAGATTTGTGATTCCCCACCTCAACTTCTGAGGGCTGGGATTCCAGACATGTACCACCACGCCTGCCTTTGTATTCGTACTGTCTTTTAAAATCTGTTCACCCCCCAAATACTTCATATCTCGGTCCCTAATAGATCCTATTCTCCAGAAACAATACAAGTGACTTAAGGGAAGCTGGTTATCTGGACCTGAGGAGACAGGGTTGGCCAGGAATCTCTCCTGAGCCCGACGATAGCTTGCATCAGTGTCTATGGAAACAGCCTTGAACTTTGAGTCGTTTAGTGCGGTGTGAATGTCACATTAGCTTTCAAGGGGGCATCATTTGCTGCTAATTAATGGTCACTTAAATCCTTAATCTCTCTCCTGTAATTGATCTTTCTCCTTGGGCAAATTTGCATTCATAGTAGAAATGCAATTTATTATTTCCTCTCAGCTTATGCCAGAACTCGGTTCTCTTTGCATTTATGTGAGCTTTTTATCTTTCTCTTTGTTCCGAGTCCTAGCCTGCAAAACTATTTCTTTGTACCTAGGCTTTTGACACCTTCTAGAAAACATGGGTCTTTCTTCTCCAGGAGACCTATGGACTATTTTTTAGATAAGATAGGAGTGAGATAGATGGAGAGAGAGATTTGAGTCCCTTTGAGCGGAGGGTACAGGGAATGTGCTTTCACCTCTCAGCATTATAATTTAGCCACCTCTATTTCCTGGGTTGAATTTCTCCAACTGTGACTTGAATTAGGGATTCCCAAGAGAGGCAAAAAAAAAAAAAGCTGCTGCCCAAAGCAAAGTTTGTAGTGGGCAGGGTGGGGGGAATCATGGGACTACCTGGTTTGATACTCCCTACTTTCCCTCCCTGGGGTACAACAGTGAGCAATGTTCTCAGATAGAGAGTCACACCTCATGTTTTGACAATAACAATTCACAAAAACCTTAAAAATGATGTCCCGTGAAAGCCACCCACCTTCGTCCTGCATGCCCAAATAGCTGATCCCACCCTAAGCTTCTTCATGGGTGAACAGTCAGGGAGTTAAAATGCTCATTAAGTTTCCAGTTCTGATGGTAACGAAAGCATATGTTTCTCTGCCCGCTACCAGCCTGGGATGACAACTCCAGCGTTGTCATGGGCCGTTTAGGTTTCCACCTCTCTGACATTGATAAATCATAGAAATTGCTGCTTGTGGCGGCAGGTAACATGACTTGATTCATAAAGAAACAGGTCCAAACAGGATTGTTGCACAGGGAGAAGTGATCTCATTTACTTTTCTACTGGATTCCCCAGACCTTCAGAAATTCATCAAAATAGGGTCAATCCACACTCAGGACATCCCAGACGGCTTTCATCCTGTGCAGTGTCGGGAGGGGAGGTGTGCAGTTTGCTTTAGCCCAATGACTTGTCGAAGCTTCAAATTCCCCAAGGATTGGCAAAGCTCGTGAACAAAATATCTTTTTGCAATTCAGAGAGAGCCCCCACAAATCTGTCACTTCCCGGTGTTTGTTTCTCTTGCTTGCTTTCTCCTGCCTCGACACCAATCGCGACTCCTAACAAATCAAGATTCCTAGATCAGAGGAAATGATTGTTTCCTGAAGCCAGGGAGAATTTTCCCAAAGCAAAGATCTCATTTTTCTGACAAGTACATTTTAGTCAAGGACAGATGGTGTGAGAAAATAGATTTTTCAATGGAAACAAAAGAGCATGAATTGAACTCTCATTGATTTCATTATGTGGAAATCCACGCAGATCTTTGGGATCAATGGATTATCCATTACACATGGGAAATCAAAAGAAAGAAAGGAAAAATAAAATACAGGCCTGGGGAGGCAGCTCAGTGAGTAAGAGTAGTTTTATTTCAAAGCCTGAGGACCTGACTTTGAATCCCCAGTGTTCATGGAAAAAGCTGGGCATGGCTCTGTATGACCTATAACTTCAGCACTGTAGGAAACAAAGACATGAGTGTCACAGGGGCTTGCTGGTTGCTAGTCCAGATCCATGCTCAGTGAGAGATCTTATCTTGGGGGAGTAAATCAAAGAGTGATGGATTGGGACCCCCAATGTCCTCCATGTGGTACATGCACCGTCCCACACTCACAAACACAAACCAACACGGGGGTTAACTTTGGGCTAAGGGTGTAGGTGAATATTTTCATCATACCAGCAGAGTACATAACTGGAGCAGAGACAGAATCCTGTCTCGGCACAAGCACTGTGAAGTGGAACTCTAGGTACCGTTTGCATTCCTGAAGATGAAGTCGCTTTATGTATCTCTACAATTCAGTCTCTTTTGAGGGCATATTCTAGTTTTTTTTTCCTGTTGTGTCATAGACGCCATAACCGGAAGCAGCTTGTTCATCTTGCAGGTTACAGCCCACTAACAAGAAAAGTCCTCAAGGCAGGAACTGAAGCAGATACCGTGGGGGTGGGACAACACCGCTTACTGGGCTTGCTCCCAGGCTCTGGATCACTTGCCATTCCAAAATGGCCTAGACGCCCTGCCCACAGATGAGAGTGCCCACAATGGGCTGCACCCTCCTGTATCAATTAATAGTCAAGACAGTCTCCCACAGACACGCTTACAAGTCAGCCTGCCGGAGGCAAGTCTTTCTTTGAATTCACACCAACAGCCAAGATTAACCCTCACAGGGAACTTGGGCTGTCATTTACTTTAAGTCAGTGTGTACTAGAAAGCCCACCAACTGCCTGTGAATTTGGACAGCCTAGCGTCAGTTGACTATCACACAGAGAGCCACCATGTCCCAAACGGTCTGTCTACCACTCCCTAAAGAGGCTCATCGTCTTCATCTTCATGGTGACATCTTTCTTTTCTAGGTGTCCTAGGCACCGCAACTCCTCATCCCAGGACCCCCTCTCTGCATCGTCTCACCAGGCAGCTCTTACAGCAGTATCACAAGGATGTCAGACCAGTTCGCAACTGGGCTGAGGCCACCACTGTCTACCTGGACCTATGTGTCCATGCTGTATTGGATGTGGTAAGGACTAGTCTGCCCTTGCTCGCTCTTGCTGTTCTGGTAGGCTGACTGATTGAGTGACTGATTGATTGAGACAGGTCTCATGTAGCCCAGATTGGCCCCAAACTCGCTAAGGATGGCATTGTGCTTCTGATCCTTCTGCCTTTGCTTCCTGAGCACTGGGACCACAGGTATAAACAAGAGGACCAGCCAGCCTCTTGTCCTCCGCGCTTTATGCAGAAGCCTGGACAGAGTTCTAGTCCTGAGACTTTGGCTGAACTGCTGGTACTAAAAAGAGTCTGCATTTTTTTTTTTGAGATGGAATTGATTTACGTATCTTTTCCATTGTTAGTGACAATGGCACATTATAGAAGACAGCCAGGTCTGGAGTTGCAGTTGAATGGCTGAGCACTGGACTGGTGAGAGAGGGTTTTCTCATTAGATCCACTACTTACTGTCTGAAATTTGAAAGAGGAAAGAAGAAAAATCTCTGCCCTGATTATCGCGAATGTGTAAAGGGCTTTTTCTAGACTGCTGTCTGAAGATGGGAGGACTCATTTGAGACCCTATCAAAAACAACAGCAACAAACCAAACAAACAATAAAAACAAAAATGGGGGCTGGCGAGATGACTCGGAGCCTTAAGAGTATTGGCACCTCTTCCAGAGGTCCTGAGTTGAATCCCCAGCAACCACATGGTGGCTCACAACCATCTATAATGAGATCTGGTGTCCTCTTCTGGCCTGCAGGCATACATGCAGGCAGAACACTGTATACATAATAAATAAATAAATCTTTAACAAACAAACAAAAATAAAACCTTGTTTCAGCTCAGGTTTTTGGAGGTTCCATTCCTTGATTAGTGGGTTTCATTTCTTTGGGGCCTTCAGCATACCTCAGGAACATGCCTCAGAGCAAAGGCACTCACCTTATGTGAAGAAGAGGAGGAGGGGTCCAAGTCCCCTTCAATGGCAGATTCCAGTGAGGAAGAGACCTCTTAAGAGGCCCCACCTTTTAAGGGTTTCATGACCTTTCAATAGCACCGCTTTGTCTAGCCAGCCTTCAACACTCTATCCTAGATGGGGCTACTGTTGCTGTGATACAAACACTCCAACCAAAAGCAGCTTGAGAGGAAAGGGTTTATTTCATCTTCCAACTGCCAGGTCACAACCTGAAGGAAGTCAGGGCAGGAACTCAAGTATGGCAGGAACCCGGAGGTAGGAGCTCACTCGGAAGTCATGAAGGAATGCTGCTTACTGGTTACTCCTCACAACTCCCTCAACCTGCTCTTATACCCAGGGCCACCTGTCTAGGGTTGGCACCACCCACATTGGGCTGAGCCCCCTCACATCAATCAAAGAAAAAAATACCCTACAAATTTGCCTACAGACCAGTCCTATGGAGACATAGTCTCAGTTAAGATTCCTTCTTCCCAGTTGACTCTAGCATGTGCCCAGTTGGCATAAAAGTAGCCAGCACACGCTGTCTTCGGAGGACACTTGATATCTGAACCGTAGCTGTCCTCTTAGCGCAGCCACCACCATAACAAAGCTGCCCCTGTGCATACCAGGGCTATGCTGAGCTGTCTACAGACGTGTGTGTGTGTGTGTGTGTGTGTGTGTGTGTGTGTGTGTGTGTGAAGACATGCATGCCACAACACATATATAGCTGTCAGAAAACAACCTTGCGTACTGGTCCTTACCTTCTCTACCACGTTTGAGACATGGGTCTCTCTGTTGTTTACTTCTGCATATGCCAGTCTGGCCTTTGGGCTTCTTTCTGGGGATTCTCCTCCCTCTGGCTCCATCCACAATAGGAAAACTGAAATTGCAATTCTTGCTAATGTGTCTGACTTTAGGTGGGTTCTAGGATTCCAAGTCTGATCCTCACTTTTACTCTTCTGTAACTGAGCTATATCCTCAACTCTACTCTCAACCTTTATACTTCAAGAAAATCACAAACATGGAACCACATATACTTGACCTTTGGCCTTTGATCCTTTTTGTTTGTTTGTTTGATTTGGTTTTTGTTTGTTTGTGTTTGTTTTAGAGACAGGGTCTCAATATGTAGCCCAAGGTGGGCTCTGGTTCTTAGCAAATCCTCCTGCCTCAGCCTCCCAAGTATTGAGATTACAGCCATAAACCTGCATTTCACTTTTTTTTTTTAAAAAAAAGCTAGGTCTCCCTCCCCACTACCAAACATAACTGTTTAGTCCACTACAAAGCGACAGTGGGCGTGGCAGCCACAGATGAGCTGCCCCCTTATGTCACTTCTCTGGCTCATCTGCTGTGTGTAGTGGCAGTCCCCTCCCTGCTGCTACTCTGTAGTGTTCTAGGTCATTGCCCTTGTGTCTATAACTGGTCTGAAAACCCATTTTAATCGATGTTATCTTATGCATTTGCCAACACTATGCTGCTGCTTGTTTCTAGAATTCTGGTTTTGTTTGTCTGTCCCTTCTATCCTTCCCTGTCTCAGGTATCTTATACATTTTTAATAAATGTTAAAAATATTTTTAAACATTTTTAATATTTTGTTTTAGTTATTTGCGGTTGGATCTCATGTAACTCAGGCTGGTTTTGAACTCACTATGTAGCTGAGGATGTCCTTTAGTTCATGATTCTTCTGCTCTATCTTCCAAATACTGGGATTACAGACATGTACCATGACACAATACTCTAATTGTATCCCCATCCAGTTTTCTGTAGTAAATCACAGAATCTCCTATTTTTATGTGTGCTTGTTTCTTAAGAACATTATCTTGCTGTGAAACCCAGGACTGTATGGAGTTCTTTACATACCTCAGACTAGCCTGGAACTGATGGCAATCGTCCTGCATCAGCATCCCAGGTGCTAGGATTATAAGCATGGTAGTGTATGTTGTAACCCCAACACTCTGGAGCCTTAAACAAGAGTATCAGAAGTTCAGGGCCAATCTTATCTATATGGCAAGATAGTGCCAGCCTAAGATACACAAGATTCTATCAATTAATCAATCAACCAATTATACTTCCCACATCCCTCCTTTCAACAACAAATTTCACTTTTCCTTTTTAAGAAAGATTTTTTTTTATTTATTTATTATGTCGACAGCATTCCTTCCATGTATGACCGCATGCCAGAAGAGGACACCAGATCTCGTTATAGATGGCTGTGAGTCACCATGTGGTTGCTGGGAATTGAACTCAGGACCTCTGGCAGAGCAGTCAGTGCTCTTAACCACTGAGCCATCTCTCCAGCCCAAGAAAGATTTTTTTATTTTTATTATATGTGTATGAGTGATTTGTCTTTGTGTATGTCTGTGCACTACCTGCATGTCTGGATCTGTGGAGGCCAGAAGAGGCCATCTGATCCCCTGGAACTGGTGTTATAAACACTTATGAGTCATCATGTGGGTGTGGGGAAATCAACCCCAAGTCCTCTGGAAGAGCAGCACCTGCTCTAACCCCCCCTCCCCCAAACCGGGCCATCGCTCGAGCCCCTAACTTTCTCTTTTCTCATTTTGACTTTCCCATAAGCTAGTGAAAAGACCAGTCTATGATCTTAGATGGGGTTGTTTAATTTAATGTCAAGAGAATCTCCACCCGAAAGGCCTAATGTCACCCACTCCTAATAGATAACCCCTTTAAGGTCTCCTTTTTTTAAAGTCTCTTTTTAATTGGATATTGAGCTAGAATTTTGGAGACTTAATTTCTTGCGGCTAACATGCCCCATAGCTAGAAGAGATACAGTTCCTCACCCCGTAGTTATCAGTGGATGATCATGGACATCCTGCTTCCTAGAATCCAATGTTAAGCATGATCCGAATAGACATACAGTATGAGTGTCAGGGTGGTGTACACCTGGGATCCCAGCACTCGGGAGACTGAAGCAGGAGGATTGCTGTATGAAGCCAAACCTGAAAGACTGCAAGAAAGTCTATCTCAATAAATACTAGCAAACCAACAAATAACTAAATGACACACAACAGGAGCTATGTCACGAGAAACCTCAGGGCAGGAGGGTAACGAGCCCTAAGAAGAGGTTAGGATGGCTCTCAGCTGCTTCCTTAGCTCCTTCCTTCCTTCCTTCCTTTCTTTTTTTAAAGAAACTTTATTATATGGGTATTTTGCCTACATGTCTATCTGTACAGCACATGTGTGCCTGATGCATGCAGAGGCCAGAATGGGGCATCAGATTCCCTGGTACAGAGGTTACAGATGGTTGTGAGCCACCATATGGGTGCTTGGAATTGAACCTGGGTCTTCTGGAAGAACAGTCAAGTGTTCTTAACAGATGAACCTTCTCTTCAGCCCAACTTTTTTCTTTTGATTTTATTTTTATTAAGATAAAGTAGAACTGCTCAGCTTTGCCTTCAGTGGCTTATTTGGAGATAAATATAGAGAAGAAATAATGTCTTTACGTTAATATTTTCCCTTGGAACAAGGATGTCAAACTGAACTTTTACAGTCTAGCTCTTCCTGCCTTGATAAAAGAAAGCAAAATCCCATTATTATTGTAGACAAGAAAAACACTGAAAATACGGCTCCCCTACCCCATGGTGTAACATATATTCTTTTGTTACTGGACGAGGTTACACATAACTCAAAATTCGGTTCAATCAATTCTTTCTTTTCTTTTTTTTTTGAGTCAATTTTCTTTTGCATGTGTATGTGTGTTCAAGCATATTCATGCATGCAAAGTTGTGTATGGGTGCTGCAGATACTTGTGGAAGCCCAGGAGCAACCTCACTACCATTTCTTTGAAAAAAAATTATATTTTTATTTAGTGTGTGTGTGTGTGTGTGTGTGTGTGTGTGTGTGTGTGAGTCCAATCTCTCCTTCTGTTATGTGGGTCCCAGCTGTGTGGCAGGCATCATAAGTTGCTGAGCCATCTCACAGGCCCTCAGCTGTCATTCCTCAGATGATATCAGTTATCATTCCGTACACTTTACCAATTTTCTTTTTTCTTTCCTTTCTTTTCTTTCTCTTTTTCTTTTTTCTTTCTTTTCTTCTTTTTTTTTTGTTGGTTTTCGAGACAAGGTTTATCTGTGTATCTCTCTCTGGCTGTCTTGGAACTCTTGAACTCATAGAGATCTTCCTGCTTCTGCCTTCCTGGGTGCTAGGATCAAAGGTGTGTACAACCACCGCCTGGCTTGTCCTCTTTTTAACACAGAGTCTCTCACTGATCTGGAATTCCTCAAGTAGACTAGACTGGTTCACAGCTAAGCCCCAGGATTCCACCTGTTTCTGCCTCCAAAGCTCTTGAATTTTAAGGGTGAGCCACTGCTTCTAGAACTTTACATTTTTTTAACATCATAGGTTCTGGAGGATTGGACTCAGGTCTTTATGTTCACAACTGTCCTTTTTGTAGCTGTGATAAAATATTGATCAAAGACAAACTGGGGAAGAAAGGGTTTGTTTGACTTACAGGTTACAGCCCAACAAGAAGGGAAGCCAAGGAAGGAAACTAGAGGCAGGAATTAAAGCTTACTGCATTGCTCCTCCTGGCTTGATCAGTTCTTCTTTTCTTTTCTTTCCCTTTCTTTTCTCTTTCTTTTCCTTTCTTCTTCTTTTTTCTTTCTTTTTTTGAGACAAGGTCTCTCTTCACAGTTCTAGCTGTCCTGGAACTCACTATGTAGAGCAAGTTCTGCCTCCCAGTCCTGAAATTAAAGACATGCTCCTCTAAGCCTAGCTGTTTTATAGCCCAGGCCCACCTGTTCAGGGATGATGGTATCACCCAAAGTGGGCTGGACTCTCTTTCATCAGTTAGCAATTAAGAAAACATGCCCCCAGATGTACCCCCAGACCAATCTGATGGAGGCATTTCCTCCCGTGAGATACCTGCTTCTCGTATCCAGGTTTGTGTCAATTTGGCAAAAACTGTATGATGACCAGGCAAGCAAGCACTCTCCTGAACCGAGCAGCTGCTCCACCACCCAACCCTTTGAGTTCTGGGGCTATAGCGTGGATCTCTACAGCTACACATCCGCTAAGCTGTTACAAGTTTCTTGATAGAAAGTCTTTGTTGCTTGTGTTCTTATTTCCCAACACATGCATTGTGATTTATTTTACTTCCAAGATGCTAGATCAATACTGTAAAATATCTAGTGACTTAAAAAAAACAAAAAAACAAAAAACACCGATCTAAGTTTATCTCTACTGATGACTAGGTTACCCCGGAGACACTTTTCAAATGTCACTGTTGTATGTAGATGAGCCAGACAAAGGTAGTTGCAGCCCTAGGAACAGTTCTGAGGGTTCTGATAAAATCGCTCACAGATTCTGTCCGGAGGAAGATGCTCCCGCTGTGAATAGCGAACTTGTCGGATGCCTCTGCCAGCAGCTGTACTGCTAGCAACTCTGCTGGATGAAGCACGGCTCTCATCGCAGCCTGACTCTCATCGCAGCCTGGCTCTCATCGCAGCACCTCGCCTCCCATCACATGTTTTGCCTCCTGTTTTGTTTATGGAAAAGCCTACAGTCTTGTCTTCGAATTTCTGAGTATTACGAGTTCCTTGGGGAAATCTGATTATAGAGATAATCTACTCAACAGTGAAGAGTTCCAATTTGTTTCTATTGAGTTTTGTCAATTCCGAATTCCGGATACCTTTGTATTCCAGTCCATTGACTGGAGCCTCCCAGCCAGACGTTCAGGCATCTGTTTCCATAGTCTCCGGAACTAGGAAAGATAAATAAGAATGTGAGGGAATTATCTGTATATTTGCTAACCACCAATTTAGATCTAAATAGACTCCCTCTGTTAGGAAGACTAATGAATTCCAATTCTCGGAAATATCCTTTGCTTTTAACAAGCAAGATGGAAGGTATCGAAAGAAAAAAGAGGCACGCAGAGGGAAGAGCTGTGAATAATGCCACCAGAGAACCAATTACACTCACCAGCTGGCATTGGGAAACTTGTTTCTTTGACAAAAAAAAAATTGTTAGTTTTAGCCTCAAACTACTTTTTGACATTGCATTCTTTAGGACTGAATGATGAATCTTCCCAGTCACCCCCATAAGATTCTAGAACAAAAAGAGTGTAAATATCATTTCTAGGTGTAAAACAACAAAGCAGTAGGCAAGCAGAGGAAAATGAGAGACAATATCAATATGGCTGGCCATCACAGTCAGCTGGACCAAAGGACAGCGGAAAGGAGCCATGGGAACAGGGAGGTCCTCTTCCTAGCTATCCAGATCAATGGGAGGCATTTATAGGGTGCTGGGACAGTCACAGAAAAATCAGTAAGGACAATGGGGTTATTGAAACAAGATGATATTCCTGTGAGATCCTCAGCAGGTAAAGGAGCTTGCTTGCCCCAAGCTCTGAGGGTCAGAGCTCCATCCTCAGAGCCTACACAGAGAAAGGAGCGAACCCAGTCCTGAGGCTGTCCTCTGACCTCCACACTCACACAACGGTGCGAGTGTGCCTGTGCACAGACACACAGACTTAATCCTGTGAGCATAGTTAACGACTCTTTCCATTAATATAAACTGCGTTTTGGAGTTTTACAAATATGTGTTTGTAGGGAATCCTCACTGAGTGTAACTAAGCCTGGCATTACTTGGGTGAGTATGGCATGATCCATTCCAGAATTACTCGGCTCATACATTTCCCAAGGAAGTGAAGTGAGTGGTATCCTCTAATCTTGGGCTCTCAATAGAAGACTTAAAAAAAAAATAAAAACTTCCAGAACCCCCGCTGAGCCAATCTTGGCTGGGGGTCCCCACTGGTCCTTCTACAAGCTGTTCCTTGGGGAAATATTTGTGAATTCAATCTTTTCACTTTGCATACCACTTTAAAACCTGCCTCTCTCAAGTATCTATTTAAAGTCCATAAAAATCTGTAGTTCCCGTGAGTTCAAAGCAGCCTTTGTTGAGCCTGGAAACAGGGCTCCTTGTCTTCTTGCTCTTTCTTCTTTCCTGCTATACCTAGAAATGTATATTCAATAACCTCTCACTTTCTTGACTGTAAAAATGGGGAAACTTTAATCCGAAAAGTTTATTGGGTTTCCTTTGGGCTTGGGAAGTAGCTCAGCTGGGCAGTGCTTGCTTGGTGTGCAAGAAGCCCTGGGTTCTTTCCCTCATCCTGGCATAAACTGGGCATGGTGCATGCCTGTAGTCCCAGCACTTGGGAGACGGGCAGAAGGAACTGAACTCAGGTCTCCTGCAAGAGCACTCTCAATCACTATGCTATCTCTTCAGTTCCTTGATTAGCCTTTAAAGGCTGGGTCTCACATAGTTCAGGCAAGCCGTAAGCTACTTGTATAGCTGAGAATGACTTTGAATATTGGGTCCTCCTCATGCCTCTGCCGCTCAAGTGATGGGACCACAGGAGTGGATCACCAATCTCTACTCTAACAAGGTTTTAGTGAGCTTGTGGTTCAACTCTGACACTTTACTTAGCAAGTTACCCATCTGCTGTAGGTTTTCTGGTCCTCTGGTATGCAGAAGGGGGTGTTAGATCCTGGAACCGGTTCCTCTGGAAGAGCAACAAGCTCTCTTAACTGTTAAGCTGTCTCTCCAATACTAGAATATTTGTATTTATTTTTATATGTGTGTGGGTGTGCCTGCATGTTTTTATGTGTGCAGGTGTTGATGCAGACCAGAAGAGGCCATTAGAGTCCTAGAAACTGTAGTCACAGGCCATTGTGAGCTGCCAGATGTGAGTATGGGAACCAAACTCAGGTCCCCTGCAAGAGCAGCCATTTCTCTACGCCACACAAAAGCTTTCTAATTTTGATAAAAATCCCACTTTTTTCCTTTGTTGCTTTTGCCCTCATATCTAAGAATCACCTAATTCAAAGTCCCAAGAGTCTGAGTTTTGTAGTCTTAGCTCAAACATTCAGACTTGTGATCCGTTTTTATAGTTAATAGTTACTAGATACGATGTGTGTGAAATAACCCTTCTCTTTTAATCTCCAAGAACATCTTATTTTTGGATTGTCCTTTACTAGATTAGATGTGGAAAATGCTGCTAAAGAGGGTTTTGTTGCTGCTGTTGTTACTGCTCCTGCTGTTTGTGGGGGGAGATCTCTAACAAAATACCACCAAGGGGCTGAAAAGGTGGTTAAGAGCACTGGCTGCCCTTCCAACAGATCTGGCTTTGAGTCCCAGAACCCACAGGTAGCTCACAGTCACATCTAGCTCCAGTTTCAAGAAGTCCAATGTCCATTTCTGGCTTTCATTGGCACCAGGCCTGAACATGGTGCACAGATATACATGAAGGCATGTCTCACCCACATTAAATACTTTAATTAAAAAAAAAATCACCAAGTTATTACAGACATGGGAAAACTACATCTGTTGTCAAGAAAGTGTACCTCACCTGTACTGAGCTCATCAGTCTGTTTCATAAGCAGACACATTTAAGCACAAAGTAACTTAGCAGAGATGTCTGCATGTGTCAGTGCAGATAGCTTTCATTGAAAGATTATGAATAATATCTTGATTAGAAGTAGAAGCTTGGTCTCATCTTTTCAGCTCAGTATTGGCTAAGACTTACATATCATTTTTTTTTAAAGTTTGATTAATGGCAGAGTAACTAATTAAAGCAGGAGAAGAGATTAGAAAATCACTCAAAATGTTAAGTGCGGTTAGAGTGCTATTTTGTCCTGGATAATAGCACAACATGCAAAGCCACAGGTGTGCAACATAAGCGGGAACTGAGGATGCTCGGGTGTCAAGGAGGCTAGGTAATGTTTTTAAAATCAGCATTGGTTGGTTGGGTTTGATTTTCCTCCCTCTTAAATTGTCAGATGTTTGTGCTTGCCTCTGATAATTGATGTGCTGAGATTTCGTGGGGATGCTCCTGCACTTTGCTTGTTCATGTGCTCAGATTCTGTGTGGATTTTTTTTTCTTTTTTGCTCTGCAGGACGTACAGAATCAAAAATTAAAGACAAGCGTGTGGTACCAAGAGGTAATCCGTTCATTCTCCTTCCCCTTCTGCATTCTGGGTTCCTGATCAGGATCTACCGCAAAATGTGGTTATTCTAAGGAGGAGGTACTGCCTCTAGGGGTATAGTCCCTTTGCTCAGAGAGACTTCATTCATTCAAGGATTTAGCCATAGAAGGGATCTCCTTCCCCCTAACAGAGTACATCGCGGGGCTGATGAATTGGATCAGTTTGCAGTTATGCCAGTGCACTTAAGCTTCCTCATGTTGATGTTTCCTGCTTGACTGTTCTTAACAGGTTTGGAATGATAAGTTTTTATCCTGGAATTCTAGCCTGTTTGATGACATTCAAGAAATCTCTCTCCCTCTCAGCGCCATCTGGGCTCCTGACATCATCATCAATGAGTTGTAAGTGTTCTGGGGGTGTATTTCTGTGACCTTTGGGGTGATTCACATGTTCGGGCCAAATGCAAATTACTCTCAGTCATTGCTGCTATACTTTTGTTTTCTCTGGTCACTAGGGTTATACGATGGGCAATATTCAGAATGGAATTGCCATGAGTTGACATTATTCAGGATGCAGATTTGGAGGCTAGAAAGATGACTTAAGAGTTAAGAGTAGTTAAGAGTACATCCTGCTTTTCCAGAGGACCAGAGATTCAGTTCCCAGCACCTACATTGGGTAGCTCATAACCTCCTGTAACCTGGCTTCAGGGGATTTGATGCTCTCTTCTGGTCTCTGTGAGCATCTGCATTCATGTGAGCATACCATCCCCATATACGCATAATTTAAAATAAAATAATTCTTTTAAAAAGATACATATTTGATTAATGGTGCTTGGAGTTATTGTTTATGTTGTAGCTGTAGCGGGTGAGTTAATTGATGAGACTTGTTATTTCTGAGAGTGTTTGTAAGGGTGAGGCACCTCATGGGAAATATCATTCTATCATTTTTCTTTTTTTTTCCCCCTAGGTCTTACTTTGGGTCTTAGGGTCACTACCACCGCATAGTCAGTTCTGTGTATGTTTGGAAAGGACTAAGGTCCTCTCCATAACAGGTTCTTTTGTGTTTCCTGTAGTGTGGACCTTGAAAGATCTCCCGACCTTCCCTATGTATATGTGAACTCTTCTGGAACCATTAGTAACCACAAGCCCATCCAGGTGGCCTCGGCATGCAGTTTACAGACATACGCCTTTCCCTTTGACATCCAGAACTGCAGCCTCACCTTCCACAGCATTCTGCACACAGGTGAATGAACCACAAGAGACGCAGTCTGTCGGCAATACCTATGCTGTGTGGGCATACATGGGTGAAATGATATCAACGTCAGATCTATTTTATTCTTACACATGGTTGATTGTTTAAAAATCTAAACCTCAGCTGGATGTGGTAGCATATGCTTAAAATCTCAGCACTTTGGAGGTGGAGGCAGGAGGATCAGAAATTCAAGATCATCCTTGGCTATAGAGAAAGCTTGAGTTTACTTGGGACACACAAGACTCTGCCTCAAAAAAAAATGTATTATTGCAGTGGGTTTTCCTAGAATTCAGACAAGGTACAATGTTATAACCGGTGCTTTTAGTTTGTTAGTATGATATCAGGATTCTATTATCATTGAGGATGTTCTAAAAGTCACAGAACACGCTTCATACACTGTGGAGAGCAGGCTTCAACTTCAAATTCATAGTTGAATAAAAGATTAAACTATTTTTGGTCCTCTCCCCACCCCTGCCTCTTCTCTGTAACTCAGACACTGGTGATACTGTGCGTGTAGTCAGGATAAAAGGAAAGTCTCAAACTGGGGGTTGAGAAAATGGGGGATGCTGGCTCCTGATTATCCCCCAGGAAGCCCATTGTTTCTGGTTTTTTGTTGTTTTTTTTTTTTTTTTTTCCCAGTGGAAGACATAGACCTGGGCTTCCTGAGGACTAAGGAAGACATCGAGAATGACAAAAGGTCATTTCTGAATGACAGTGAGTGGCAACTGCTCTCAGTGTCCTCCACCTACCGCACCCTGAGGAACAGCGCTGGAAACTTCGCACAAATTCAATTTAACGTAGGTTTTCCTTCCTACCCGGTGCTCACGTCTCCACAGTCCGTGGCCTTATGTATTGAGCTGCGGGATCTGCTTTATTGTATATCCTCATTATTACCTGAGAATAGCATGTTCAGTTGGCTCTGCCCATCCCCCTGAGCTGCAGTATTTGAGAGCAGAGATCCTGAGCCACCAGGTTTCCACCATAATCTACAAGGGAATCAGAGAGAACAGTGTGTAGACTCCAGAGATCTGACCCACCTCACAGCAGAAGTCTTCAAACCTTTTGGCTTACACAAACATTATCACTTCTAATTGCCACTGAGAATAAAGCCCAAAGCAGTGTACACCATCAGCATCACAAGGAATTGAAAGAAAACAAAACGAAACAAAACAAAACCTGTCTCATCAACATAATTGTCCCATTTTTAATTGAGAAAATTATCAATTAATTTCAGATGCAGATGCATAAAATGATCATATTACTAACTTGAATATCTGAAGGAATTAGCTGGGAATCATCTGCATGACCCACAGAAACAATGGGGCTGAGGACGTAACTGAGTCGATAATTTACAACAAACCCTGGGGTTTATCACAGGTACACATAAACCAAGCATGATAACACACATATGTGATACCAGCACTAGGAAGAGACCAGAGAATTAGATCGACTTTGAGGCCAGCCTGGGCTACATGAGACCCTATTTTGTAAAAAGAAAGACAAGGAAAGGAGAGGGAGGGAGGGAAGGAAGGAAAGAGAAAAGACAAGAGAAAGAAAGAGAGGGAGAAAGAGAGACACACACATACAGAGAGAGACAGACAGACAGACAGACACAGGTAGAACAAGTAAGTAGCTTCAGGGTCAGAGGTAACAACTGCTGACCAGGCCATGGTGGAAGCCATGGTACTCTAATGCATGTCTGGGAGTGCTCTTGGTCAAACTGTACCCAGGGAAATTTGTCTGTCTTGAGGAGCTCTGGGAGAAGGACAGTGGTGCTCACCACTTTCCCTGCCAAGCTTCTGTTTCTCTGGCTTTCCTAGCAAACCACCCTCCATGGTCACGGGCAGGCTCACATCACCAGGAAACTCTCAACGCTAGAACTTGGCAGAGAGCCCTGCTTTATTGCGCAAAGTGAAGGTGATATTTGTGACAAGGCAGGAGGATGGTATCCATGGCAGAGAATAAATTCAGTTGAAAAAAAGGTACGCCAAACAGGTCAGGAGTGCCTGTGACGTGTATTCCTCCAGAGTCAAGCCTTGGGAATGAGGAACCTGCAGGTCAGCCTGAGGGCTGATGCAGAAGAGTGAGATCAGGGTTCCTAAGGGCGTGCGTGGCCTCCATTGACTGAAAGGTATGTGTTTTCTAGAAAACCTTAAAGCACTGGGGTTTTAGCCTCCCTCATGGCTACTCCTTGACTAGCAGCCCAATCACAAAACATGCCTATGGAGCAAGGGATCAAGGGTGTCCATTGTAGCCTGCCTGCCCTCTCTTCTTTGTTTCGTGATCCTACGGCTCAAGCAAGGGCCTTGCTCACACTAGGCGAGCATTCTACCACTGAACCACATCCGCAGTTCTTGTCCACTTGTTCTTAGGAAGAGAATGAGTAGGGGAAGGAAAGCTTTTTTTTTTTTTTTAAATTTCAATGAGTTTCTTGGCTAAGAGTAAACACCTCATTAATTTTAAAGATATCAGCCTGCAAACATTATTAATGCAGCCCAAATAATGGAGAGCATTAAAGGGAAATGTGAGGGAATGGCAAGTGCAAGGTGGAACCAGTCACCTACCAAGCACTCCACGGAGTACTGCACACATCATTACCCACACTGCACGGAGACAAAGGCGTGAGCGGCAGGTAAATGGGAGTGTGAGTGTGGGTATACCCTTGTGTGCTCTCTCTCTCTCTCTCTCTCCAGTTACATGTTACATGTCATTCTTTCCCCTAAATATTAGCTTATCTTCTTGAGGGCAGCTGGACCCATTTGGAAAAAGAAAGAAGGTAAGCACTGCTTCCTGAGAGGTGTCCCTCCATGTAGGAACCACAGTCTGAGTCCTTTGCCCTCCTCATCACCACGTTCCTCTCTGTTAGGGTGTTTCTACAGAGGCATGCTGGAGGTAGGGATGCATGCATTTGATTTCATGCCCTGGAAGTTTTCTCCAAGGTGTCTTTGCCCTGGGGGTCAAGGTGGGTTACCTGGTAAGGCTAGCTTTCACCTGCTTCTCTGAACCAAATCCCCCCCAAAATCCCGAATAAAGCCACAGATTATATTAGCCAGACTCAGAAGTGATCCTGCAACTTTGGAAAGACCCACATGTTCCAGAACGCTTGCTGGTTTCCATCTCCCAACCTCCACACCTTTCCCGTGGCTGCCATGTACCCCATGCCTGGCTTCATTGTTTTCATACCACATAAGACATTCTGCACTTAGCAACCAAGGCATCCTGGTGTCATTCGAAAGCCCTTGGCCAGTGTTGTAGCATTTGGAGTTTACCTCTGTGCCAACAGTGCGCTTACTGGTGTCCCGACGGTAAAGGAGCATCTTCCTCTTATTCTAATCACCTGCTGTGTCCCAGACCAAGCTGGGAACAGTTGGAACAGGCAAGAGAGACAACATTCTCTTCAAAACACAATATCATTCCCTGCTAACACACACAGCTACCATCTATCTGGCATCAAATGCTCGCAATGGCATTAGCGCCAGTTAACGCAATCACAGCCACTGGTGCTGGCACACGTGCTGCTTATCACAGGGTACCACTGAAGTTTCAGAATCCAACTGCATTGCACAGGAGCCCCAGACAAAACTCTTCTCCCTGTAAGGATGTTTGTGTACAGCCTGGGACCCAATCCAACAGCCATGGGAGGGGAGATCACCTCCAATACATTATTGAAGATGCTGATTCCCAGAAAACAGCAGGATAGACATTCAGTTTCTGTATGACCTTGTAGGAGTGGGCAGATGTAGAGAGAAACTCTCGAAGTCATTTTGGATGTAAAGGGCCAATCAAGATACCCTGATACTGAGTGGAGACTCACCAGGCCCTGGAAACTCATAGAGGACTCGGAAAATGAAAAGAGAGTTTGGGAAAGAGAGAGGCCTGGCTCAATCTCTTTTTCTATCACGATTCCCATGCGTTTTCTAGATTAGGGTGATTTTATTGAGATTTCCATTGAATGCTCTAAACTTAGGATTCAAGCCATTCTGGTGTCCTTTAAAAGCTCTTGATCAGTGATGTGGATGCTGCTCGTACTTGACAGGACACCCTTCCGAGGAAGAGAAGGGAGGGAAAACAGGAAGGAGGGGGGAAGCTTGAACTCTGGAGTCATCCTAGGGTTGCTCAAGGAGTGTGGTAATCACAAGCTTTCTGTTAATACAGCCTGAGCCGCAGTCTACATCCCCAAAGTCCTTGCTCTGGGACAAGGCTCTTGCTTAAAAGGCAACAACTTTCCCATTCCTTCTGAACCAGGGGTGTGAGGAGGGATTTGGGAAGGGAGGGAAATGGGCTTCTATGTGGAGCATGAGTCTGGGCGTCAAAATTCCAAGTATGTCATAAAGACGGTCATGCAAAATTGAGTACTGGTGGGGTCTACCATCAAGGAGGCAATTAGAGGCTAACCTTGGGGCCTATTCCATCTCCGAGGAGCTCTCCACACACACATTCTGAATTAGATTGATCTCTTTCATTAACATCAATAGGCTCCAAATACCTTTGTGTACTTATTATTACCTGGCTTTAATGGATAATGAAATTGTGGCATAATATTGCTAACACCTGAAGGGTGTCTAATGGAGAACACAGGCTGAAGCTAAAGTGCTTTTTCTTCCTTTTCTGTGGAATTTAAAGGCACCAGCTCCTCTAGCCCATTAGGAATGATGGGCTCTGGGTAGGGCAGGCTTACAGAGAACAGTGTCACGCTGAGCAGGTGACACATTCCTCTGAGCAGAAGCAGGTGTCATGGGTTCTCAGGTGAGGGCCATATGAAGACTGACCCCCAACAGGACACCCACCATTTGGGCTGATCTCCCATCTGCAGTTGATTGAAGCTAAAGGTAGCCTTATTAACCGATTTTTGATGGAGTTCAATGAACATCTCAGCATTAATGATTGTTGGAGTTTAATCTCTGTTGCTGGGGCACAGCACTGTGACCGAAAGCTTCTTGGGGAAGAAAGGGTTTATTTGGTGCATACTTCCAGGTTACAATCTATCACCAAAGGAAGTCAGGGTAGGACTCAAGGCAGAAACCATAGAGGGACTTGGCTTGCTGGCTTGTTGTCTGACTTGTTCATTCCCAGGCTTGTGCTTAGCTAGTTTTCTCATACAGCCCAGGACCACCTGCCTAGGGATAGTGCCACCCACATTGGGCATAGCCCTCCTGCGTCAAGTAACAATCAAGGCAATCTTTCACATACATTCCCACAGACCAATCTGATCCAGACAATTCCTCTGTCAAGGCTTTCCTCTCAGATGACTCTAGGCTGTGTCAGAAAGACTATTTAAGCTAACAAGGACAATGACAGACATAAAAAGTACAGAGATGAATAAGAAAATCTCTTGGTATCTATTATAGACATCAAAATCTGTCCAAGGAGCTATATAGCTCAGTCGATAGATAATTTGTCCAGCATTCAGGAAGCCCTAGGTTCAATCTCTGCATAAAATATCAGCTAAGCTGAGGAAGTCTTTAGTGTCATCATGCAAATGAGATAGGGACTCTGGTTTTGGTTCATCCTGGAGCAAGATTTCTTTCTATACCGTAGATTTTTCTAACTCTAGCCACCAGAGTATAGCTCCCAAACTCCTAAGACCAGACTAGGACAGGGACAGGACAGGGACTTACTTGTCCTACTTAGGACACTATGTCTCTCGTATTTCCAGTAGTACGGCAGCAGCCTCTTCACGCTCAGTGTTTGCTGGACAAAGGAAAAGAGAGCGGGCAATCAGTTGGGATATCAATAAGAGTTTCAGAAAGCAAAAAATAAAATTAGAGATTCGTTTTGTTTTTATTTCATTTTTTGTTTTGTTTCCACTGTACCAGACTTGTAGAGAACATTGATTCTTAGAAGGCATTGCCTCTAAAGCAAGGAAAAAGGTGGGTACTTTATTCTAGAAAAAAAAAACCCAAACTGTGGTACTACTTGTTTTCTCTTAAGAAAGGTAACATCCTTGCTAAAGACAGGAGCATATACGAGAGGTGGTTTTAGAGGGTATAGTCAGCTTTCCAGTTTAGTAAGATAGATGGAAATTGGGAACTTTCTTTGTTTTAAGTCACAGCAGAAGCTAATTATCTAATGGGCTACCTGTGTCCTTCCCTTCTGCCCTCAGTGTCTACTGAGACCTAGCGAAGGGCCTTCCAAATTCAGGACCATGTGGATGCACAGGTCAAAAGCTCATGAACCTCACGCTTCTTCTCAGACTTCTGTCCCCTCCCTTTAGCCTGAGAAGTCTATACTTCCTTGGAAATCAGGATCTTCGAGGACCCACACCACTCACCTTTGGTTTCAGCCTAGATGTATATTTTACATCTGCATCTGGGCGGAAAGGAATCCTCTCCACCTGTGCTATGACATCAGCACTTTATTTCACAAACACAACAGCTCGATTGTACCTGGGGTGTTTGGTAAGGCAAGAGCACACTGCTTCTTTAAAAGGAGGTGGTTCAGTTGGTAGAGTGCTTGAGTTGCAAACAGAAGGACATGAATTCAATCCCAGAACAGGAAAAGCTGGTGTGACCCTGTGCTTGTAATCCCAGCACTGGGGAGGTAGAGGCAGGCAGATCCCTGGGACTCCCTAGCTAGACAATTTAGTCTACTTAGTAAGTTTCAAACCAGTGGTAGACACTGTCTAAAAAGAATGTAGCTGGTTCCTCTGGAATGACACCTAAAGTTGTCTGGGCCTCTGCATGCACACATTCATATGTATACACATATCCCCCTCATATACACATACATATATCACACATGCACATACAAAAGAAAGGAAGAAGGAATTGAGGCAGGTCAGGGAGGGGTTGGCAGCCCCACACAGGATCACATAGATTTAAATACATAGGTTCTAGTTCCTTGACTACAGATCTGGGCCCTTCCCCCTTAACCAACATGCCTTGGGCTTTTCTTTTCTTTCTTATTTTATTTTTTTTTTAGAGAAAACAAACTATCTTTTTTCATTTTTCATATCAATCCCAGTTCCCACTCCTCCTCCCATTCCCTCTACCTTCCTCCCCATCCCACACCACATCCGTTCCTTAGCGAGGGTAAGGCACATTGCTCTGGGGAAGGTCCAAGACCCTCCCTACTATATCTAGGCTGAGCAAGGTATCCATCCAAAGAGAATGGGTTTCTGAAAAGCCAGTACAAGCAATAGAGATAAATCCTGGTGCCACTGCTAGCTGTCACCCACATTCAGAGGGTCTAGTTCCTTCCCTGTTTGGCTGGAGTTGGCGAGCTCCTGCCCTGTGTCTTTCTTTAGGGTAATACTCATAGACTTTTTTCCCCTTCTCATGCAATCTCTGCCATGAAGTCTCCAAGGGTGATTCCACTTTCTTCCCCCTACCTGACCAGGTATGACCACTCCAACTCCCACTCTAAGAGACCAGATCACCAGCATCTCAAAGCCCCTCCTCCTACCCCACCTTCCAAGGCTGTCTAAGTCACAGCCCAACAGAGATGCAGGTTGATGATAGTTCATTGTGGTTTTTTTTTCTTGTTGATTGCACTTTGGTAGAAATGTGTTTTAACCGAATTATTGCAAAGTGATGTGTGTTGCACTGGTGTAGATATTTGCAGCCAGTTATGTTTAATGTGAAAGACAACAGTTGGACTACAATCCACTAAACAGCTCTGGCCTGCCAAGCTCCACTGAGTCGGGACATGTTCCCAGATCCAAATGACTAGGGAGTCTCAACTCTCATCAACAAGGTGTGTGAACTCCCCCAGCCAAGCTGTCCCGCCCCATTCCATCTTGGGCTCTGTACTCCTTTCTGTGCTCATTTCTTTGTACTTTTCTCCCAGAGCAGGATATGGAGAGGAGAGAGAAAAAATAAATAAATAAATGCCTCCTCTTCCACATCTGGGCAGATCCAGATTTGTAGCTAGGCTGTAGCTGAGGAGCAAGCACCAGGAATCAGAAGGTGTGAGGTTACACTGCACCTCGGCCACTGACTCAGCTTCCTTAAGGGTACAGGGTAAGGTTATCTATCCAAGAAGTTGATAATGAGAATAAAATAAATGAGGTGATAGATGGAAAAGCCTTCAGCACATGATCTAACACATAGAAAGTAATCAAGTGTCACATTATCTGGCAAATCCAAGAGACGGGAGCTGTTTAGTAGTGTACTGGGGCAAATCCAACAGCAAAGGGACCAGGATATTGGTTTGCCCCATCAGGTTTTGCTGAATGTCCACCACAAGGGAGGCCTTATTGTCAGCCCTGAGGGCAAATCACCACCTCAGAGGATTGATCTTGCCTCTACCTCCCCAATGTTGGGATTACAGGTGTGTGTCAGCTCACCCAGTTTATGCAGATCTGGGGATAGAATCTAGGACTTTGCCCATGTTAGGCAGGTACTCTATCAACTGAGCTACCCCCCAAGTTATAAGCCCAGGATTGGTGGACAGAGATGGGCAGGTCCAGAGAACTCATAAACAAGCCAGCCTAGCCAGAGTGCTGAGCTTCTGGTTCAGTGAGATACCCTGTCTCAGGCAATGAGTCAGAGAATGATCAAGGAAGACACCTAGCATCCTGCTCTGGATTCTGCGTGCATATAAATGGACACGCATCTGTATGCGGTCACACGCACACATGCAATATTGTTAGGTCTATGTGAAAACTTTCCATCTTTTTGAATCACAAAATAGCCGTGTGTGTGTGTGTGTGTGTGTATGTGTGTGTGTGTGTGTGTGTGTGTTGTTTGAGACAGGGTCTTGTTATGTAGTCGAGGCTGGCTTCCATCTCATAGCAATCCTCCTGGTCCTGCTCCCCACATTCTGAGGTTACAGGCATTTCCCAGCACATCCAGTTGTCTCAAATATAAACTACATAGCCATTTTGCATTACTCACAAGGGCTGGGTCTTAAGCACTGTGGGCTCAGCCAAGTGTTAGACTGCTTGTTTAGATGGAAGAGCTTCCTCGTCTTCTGCCAGGTGGTGATTCGCAGATATCCATTGGCCTATGTCGTGAGCCTCTTGATTCCTAGCATCTTCCTGATGCTCGTAGACCTGGGGAGCTTCTACCTGCCTCCCAACTGCCATGCAAGAATTATATTCAAGACCAATGTGCTGGTGGGCTACACAGTCTTCAGGGTCAACATGTCTGACGAGGTGCCCAGGAGCACGGGGTGCACGTCTCTGATTGGTAAGCAGCTCAGGTGTCATCGGACACCCCCTTAGAACCATTCCTGGCCAAGATCTGGTATTGCACGAATGGTAGACTGAATACAGCTAAGTCCCTTTCTTCCCCAGGGGTCTTCTTTACCGTCTGCATGGCCCTCTTGGTTCTCAGCTTATCCAAGTCCATCTTGTTGATCAAATTCCTCCACGAGGAGCGACACAGTGGGCAAGAACGGCCTCTTCTTTGCCTTCGAGGAGACTCTGACACGGATGAGTCTAGATCGCACCCTTGGGCTCCAAGTGCTGAGACAACAGGTTTGTGAGAAGCCTTGTGATCCCCACCCTGTTTGCTTCGTCCTGCTGAGCCCCTGGGTCCTGGGGAAGCACCCAGCCAGTCTGGCCAGCACGAATAATGGGAAACTCCAGCTTTTCAGCCCCTGTTCTGAGTTTGAGATTTCTTCTGTAGACAGACTGAAGGTGACTTCCTGCTGGGAGGTCATTTTAGCTTGAAGGTCATGCTTTCAGGCACCTCTAGTATGCTTCATTTCTACCACAGTGACTGAGCTACAAACTCAAAAATTGTAGCATTCTGGTATACAAGCATGCTTGCACACACAACATACATCACTATACACACACAGACACTTTATACTTTATGCACATGCATCACACTATACACACATCACACTGTACACATACATCACACTTTACACACACGCCACACATCACACTATACACACACCACACATTACATTACCTACACACACACACACACACACACACACACACTATACATCACACTTTATGCACACACATACATCACACTATACATACACACACATCACACTACATACAGAAATGTGGGAAGGAATATGAATGGTTGGGTTCTAGTTGCTTTATATAAAGAAATTTAAGAACTATCTATCCTAGCTCAGGAAGTCTCCTCGATAGGTATAGCCTACACACACCTCTCTTGACACAGGACAGCTCTGCCAGGTTCTCTGGGCCTTCCCTTAGCACAGCTCATCTAGAGGGTTTTCCTCCATCACACAGAGTCCCCTGTCCACCAGGAGCACCTGGTTCAGTCAGATGCTCTGCAGGAAGTCTGGCTCCAGCTCCAATCCATCAACAACTCTCTCCGAACTCGGGATCAGGTTTACCAGAAGGAGGTGGAGTGGCTGGCCATCCTGTACCACTTCGATCAGCTGCTCTTCCGAATCTACCTTGCTGTGCTGGGGCTCTACACTGTCACCTTGTGCACTCTCTGGGCACTGTGGAGCAGAATGTAACACTGGAGATTGCTGGTGTCACTTGATGTGGGGGTCACAGCACTTAGGGAAAGCTTAACAGTGCTTGAAGAGGGATTGAAGGGGAAAGAGTGGGTAGGCTTAAAACATTTCTCTCGGACTCCATTGTCTCTTTTCAGTGACTACACAGATGAGCATCTTAATTGGTTATTGACTGAACCAGTAAACATATATGTTCATAATAAAGATGTATAAACAGAATAGAGTATACAGTAACAAGCAAGCCTTTACCTTTCCTGAGCCACCATCAGCAACCATATATACTCAGGCTTAAGCAAAAAAAATTAGTTCTAGATTTTGAAGCAGGATCTCTTGTATCTCGGCTAAGCTTGAAAACTAGGCAACCAAGGATGACCTTGAACCCTTGGTACTCCTGCCTCTACCTTCCAAATGCTGAGATTGTAAGTACTGTGCCACCATGCCCAGCTCCATTTGATATAATCTGCTTTAACAGCCCATATGTTTTGAGCCCTGCTCAAAACAACTTAATTCCTCTGGGATCATCAATCTATGGCTCTGCTTCCTCAATTCTGTCTTTGGTCTCATATTACATTATATCCTTCCCCTTTAATGCATGTGTAAATGTGAGGAGGAAAAGGGATAGACAGACAGATGACAGACAGACAGAGATTACCCAATAGCCCACATGCTTTTAGACCTGACGCTGAGACTGGTTCTATCACTATTCACCCAGGAGACCTTAAACTTCACTTCTCCCACTTCAGTTTGCCTTATTTAAAGTAGGGGCTGTTAATATTTACTCTCTCCATATCATAGAATTATAAAAGCAAAGCAACTCAACAGCATTTTGAAAAGTAAATAACAGATGACAAAAATAAATCTGACTTGCCTGCTATCAACAGAGACGGATTCTGGTCTGAGTCTTTGGTGTGAGTGTGTGTTTCTGCTTTCTGTTTGTTCTTTCTGCTTTCCCCCATACCTAGCTCACCCAGGGCCCCGGAGTTCTCCATGTAGGGATTCTGCAGTAATAACTGTAAAGCACTTCATGCTAGCTCACTGCTAGATGAACTCATATCTGATGTGTTTTCCCAAATCAGAGGAACAAAATCTACCCAAGGTCAGAGATCAGTCCCCAGGCATTCACTTCTCTACCCCTCACGGAGGGTAGTCTTCAGGAGGCTGGTGGGCAGAAAGACAGAGCAAGGCTTAGAGGTGCCCATCCATTCGGATGCTGCCAGCACAGGTCGTGAAAGTCCAAAACTGTTTGCTAGGAACCTGTTCCAGGACGAAAATTGCCTTAAAATAATCTGCCCTCTTCTCCCCACCCTGAAGAAAAAGAATTTAAATTCCAACAGCCTTTACCTACACACTCCCTCTTTCATTACCTCCCAGTTAGTGCTCAGTGCCAATTGTCCATGAAATTCCGCTGCTGCTGTTAATGAAATGGGGTAGGCAAAAAGTTTGTGAACAGGAAGTGTCCGTGCAAACTCCACCTGGTTTTTTCTTCACTTCCTATTTCGACCACTGGTCTCTTTGCCTCTGCGGTGCTCTGGGTTAGCCTCCACAACGATCCTGGCCTTCTCCACTTCCTCCCCTGTGACTGTGGAGCCTCCTCCTCACTAACTGCATGCTGGAGAAAGTGCCAGAATCAGAGTCAGGAGGCCTGATTCTGGTCCTGGTTCCATCATCGCTTACCCCAGGGAGCTTGGACTTCATTTCTCAGACTACAATTTGACTTACGTGAAATTGATGCTATAAATATTTACTATCGCCACAGAGTTCTGAGAGCAAAATGAAGCAACTTAATGACACTTTAAAAAGTCAATAACAGATGACAAAATAAACAGGAGCCTGCATGCTATCAACAGAGAGAGGTTCCGGTCTAGAGCCTTCGGTGTGGGGGTCTGATTTCCAGCAATCTCTGCCAGGACTTAAGTATAGACCCTGCCTCTCCCAAGAAGTGACCTTATTACAGGATCTAAAGTTCAAGGGCTGATGGCACCAACTGTCCCCTTTGTGGTGAAGGACCCTGAAAGAGACTTCCCATTCAACATCCAGCCTACCTCACTTTTATTGCAACCCCAGTTACCCAGGATCTTTATAACATTATTTAAGAAGCAATCCTTTCCTTGTGAAACCTGAGCGCTAACTAGACTCCCTCTGTCTAGAGTCCCATAGTCCTAATATCAACTGGCAGCCCCGGGGCCAGATCTGCAGCCCAGAGCAGTAGCATTGTGAGCCCACGGCTCTACAGAGCTCTTGAGAGACTGTGCGCTGTCCTGGAGCATGCTTGCCAGCAACCCTGGTTGACAGAACAGTTTTAGGTTAGCCCTTCCACATGCTCATCCTTTTCACGAGCTTCGTCTCAGAAAGGAAGGAAACTGAGGAACAGAACAAAAATGGGATTCTCCCAGCTGTGACCGCTCCTGCCATCTGCTGTCCCCATAATCTAAGAAATCACAGCTCCAGAGTGACGTCTGGAATACAAAGAGAGAAAAGCACGCCCCGGGCTTGCCAAGAAGCCTCTAGTTCATCCTAATATCTCAAGATAACTTTCAGAGGGTTGCTGTGGTGACTCGGTAGCCTGGTTTGTTTGTTTGTTTGTTTTGTCGTTTGTTTGTTTGTTTGTTTTGTTGTCTTGAACTTTTTAAAAGATGGAATCTCATGCAGTCTAGGCTCACCTCTAACTTGCTGCACTTCTGAAGATGACACTGGTCTTCTGATCCCTCCGCCTCTACCTCCTAAACGCTAGGATTACAGGCAAGCATCTCCACACCTGGTTTTATATGATACCGTGGAATAAACCTAGGGCCCTGTTCATTCTAGAGAAGCACTCTACCAGGGAGTTACACCCCACAGCCTTTCTGTGTTGCAAATAACGAGGTGACAGAGGGAGTCACTTGCCCCCAAGGATACAACTACCACCTTTTGCAGACAATCTAGAGGGGAAGTAGAAAAAGAAGTTGAGCCTTTTTGCATTGGAATCTCCATACCTAGCAAGTCTCCCTGACCTTAATCCCAGGGTAAGAGTGTGAGAACCAGGAGACAAAGAGTAGCCATGAAAGGAGTATGACAGTCAGCCCAGGACAGACTCAAGCTCTTGTGTGTTTTCCTTGAGAAGGATGGGCCTCCTTCTATGCCCTGAATTCTCATCCTCTGTCCAGGAGCCCCGCCTCATTCTCCTAGTTATCTTGTCCATGCTGGTCTATTCCTGTCTTGTCTATGTCCTGTTCGGTCCCCGGTTCTGACTCTTTGGATGTTGCCACTGCTCGGTTCTGAGTTATTTACCTGCAGAGCCGGTGAAAACTTCCTAATTAGCTGAGCCCCAGCATGAGGCTTTTATGAGCAGCCACGTCCCCCACTGCTCTCCGCTGTCCGTAATTGAAATGACCCACACCAGTGATTAGATTAGGGGGCTGAAGGAGCCCAGCATGACACCCCCATCCTCTCCCCTGTCCTGTTGGGGAAGTGATGTAGTTAAATTTGTGCTTCATTTGGCAGAGGCCATAAAACGGGAATCGCAGAGCCGCTTTCGGCAGGGGCTGGAAGATACTGCTGGGTAGTAAGCAGTGGCTCAGTACTGAGGGTGGAGGGAGCCGTTCTCTCACCTTTGCCTTGTTTTCTTACCTCTCCTGCAGTCTAGTATTCAGCTTCAAAGACCTAGGACTCACTCAAGCCCCATGGGTTATCGGCCATCCTGGGTCTCCCTGGGGACCAGGCTGTGTGTGGACAGCCAGCCTATAGTCCACTCTGTTCCTGGTCTGTCCCCCCAAACCCAGTCACTCACTCATCCTCTTTCCAGAGTTCCAGGCCGAGAGCCAGGAAAGGCAGGTGCTGTTGGCAGGTTTTCTTGGCCTGCTCCCTTGGCTAGTCTTGGCTTCTCAGCTCTGGGTCCAGGAGAAACCTTCTTCTTCGAGGGCCTGTCTCGCTGCAGCCCCAACCCCTCACTCAGCCTTTTGAGGAGCAAGGTAAAATTTGGTACACTAGCTGAAGCTTGTCCAAGTTCCCTGTTGTCCCTCCCTGCTCCCCATTCGTGTTCTCAGACCACCCAAAGAACCCTTCCCCACCGAGTTCTTTCTTTCCAAAGCTACCTTCCGGGATGTCGTACACTCAAACCCATCAGGTTCTTTCTAACCATACCAATTCCTTCACGGTCCTTTAAAGTTAACCCACGATGGAGCACAAATGCCCCAGAACAAGTGCACACAAACCTTCAGTCTAGAGAGGCTTCCCACACAGGGCTGAGCAGGTACACACAAAGCCAGAACTGGCGTGGTTCCTTTCAACATTTATTTTACTCAGTGGTGTATTGGGAAAAAAATGTAGACTTCATGAAGTGGAAGGGTCTGTCTTGGGTTTAGACTTATTTTATTTGCAGGTGTATATATGTGTCACAAGAATTAAACTCAGGTGCCAGACTCCGCAGCAGGCTCCTTTAGCCACTGTGCCTCCTAGCCAGCCCCTTACCTCTGCTTTAAAATGTGGTGTATTATGTTGGACATGGTAATGCCCATATGTAATCCCAGTACTTGGGAGAAGGCAGAAGCAGGAGGCTTGGGAGGCTAACCTGGGCTACATAGTGACATCCTGGCTTAAAAGTAAGTGCCATGGGGGTCAGAGAGCTAGACCAATGGTTAAGAGTACTCACCGCTCTTGCAGAGGTTGACCATGCAGGTAAAGAAGGCCCTTATAACTCCAGTGCCAGGGAATCTGACTCCCTCTTCTGATCTCTGCAGGCTCCCGTATACATGTGATGTGCATATATCTACCCAACCACACATGTACACATACAAAACAGATAAGTAAATATTTGTTACATAAATACAACAGCAGATTAGTCAAAAATCTAAGCCATAGTGTGATCTGCAGATCAGGAACTGACTGCTAGGAAAGATATTTCATCCCCACAGTGGGTAGCTGTACCTCATCCTAGTGGAGAGGGGGTAGTGTGTGTCCTGGAAAATGATCACTGCATTCCAGGGACCGGAGGCAAATGAAGGAGGAAGAGCTTTAAAACTGTTTTCTGGGGACTGGAGAGATGGCTCAGTGGTTAAAAGCATTGCCTGCTCTTCCGAAGGTCCTGAGTTCAATTCCCAGCAACCACATGGTGGCTCACAAACATCTGTAATGAGGTCTGGTCTCCTCTTCTGGCCTGCAGGCATACATGCAGACAGAATATTGTATACATAATAAATAAATAAATATAAAAAAACTGTTTTCTGCAAGAAGGAATAGAGGAGTCAGGGAACATAGATGTCACTGGCTTTGGATGGGTTCCATGGCTCTGTGGCAGGAAGGCTATGACCAGCGGTCAGATGCTTGACGTCGGGGTGAGTAGACCCAGTGCCAGCGATCTGGAACATAAGAAGGATGCAAGGCAGGGTGTGGGCTTTGGATCAGTTGGTTTGTATTTGGACAATATACTTGCCGGCTTAGTTACTCATCACATCTAGAGAATGACTTATGTGAAGGCAGCAGTCTCTCTACCATCAGAGCACTGGCATACAGAACATAAAACGATGGTCCGTCCGTACAGCCTCCTCTGAGGATCCCTCCCAGAAGTATGAAATCGCTTTCCTCTGCTTTCTTTCTTTTTCAACATTTTTTTTTTTGGTTTTTCAATACAGGGCTTCTCTGTGTAACAGAGAAATAGATCCTAGAAATAGATCGAGCTGGCCTCAAACTCACAGAGATCCACCTACCTCTGCTTCCTGAGTACTGAGATTAAAGGTGTGTGCCAATTTTATTATTTTTTAATAATTAATTAATTTATTTATTTTACATCCCAACCACTGCCTCCTCTCTCTCCTCTCCTCCCGCCTCCCCTCTTCTCCCCTTTGCCCTCCCCCAGTCCACCCCTCCTCCATAATAGCTCAGAAAGAGG